CTGGACACATTTCTGGTTTTCATAATGGGGGAGGGGGATTACTGGCATCCTGTGGTTGGAGACCCGGGATATCGCTAAACCTCCAACAATGCACGGGTCGGCCCCCACAACAAAGAATGATACAGCCTAAGCTGTCAATACTGCAAAGGCTGAGAAACCCTAGTCTTATGCTTAGGAGGCATACTCTCCTTGCTCTTTCCCCCTTGAACTATACTCCTTTCTCAACTACACTCCTTTATCTTCCTAAGGAGAAAGAGCCATTCTAAAACAGGTGTCAACCATATCCAAGGCAGATGCCACCACTATATCTATGACGTGACATATCCAAGAACACTATTAACAGTGCAAATTTGCACTTTACGGTTTGCAAAGACGTCTTCTAATACATTCACTTGCTTCTCTCAAGAATCTAAGTAGCAACTAGGGGAGGTATCATTATACTCATCGTAGAGCAAATAAGGACACTAGATAAGCTAGTCACCATCCCTGTGAATTGAGGGTGATAAAGAAATTGAAGCTCAGAAACATTAAGTGACTTGTTCAAGATCACAGCAGGAAGCATCGGAGTGGTAGAGAAACCTCACATCAAGCTTTCTGATAGCCCCACCACTCTTTCTTTCACAACAGTGGGCTTCTAATGAAAAAGCAATGCACCAATTGAAGTGTTTGCCTCTCATTATCATGAGGAAGTTTCCCATGAACTACTAGGACAGCATCCATTTCCACCAGGAAGAATGCTTTCAGAGAACACAGAGCAGCAAGTGAGGAAGAGGCCACCAGGCTGGGCAGCAGGGTGCTGGAGGAATTGAAATAACCCTGGCAGTGGGGGCAAAGACATCAAAGCCAGAGGGTCTTCATATCCTACCCTAGAATGGTAACACTATAGCTCACTTCTGGGTCATTATTTCAGGTTGATCAAGATAAAAACATGCACATGGAGAAGCATCTGGGGCAGATTTCTCTGACATGATGCTTGGTTAGAGACTAGATTTTTGTTTTTAATGTGGTATTGTAGTACTTAAGACTAATAAGATGACAATGATAATTTTCCTTATAGACCCTCCCCCCCAAAATTTGGATATTTAGACACTGAGAGAACTTTGGGTCACTTAAGAGTTTTCAAAGGCTCCACAGAAATGTGACATTTGCATGCAATAGCCCTTTTAGGTTTAACCCTAATCCTACTAGAGACATTCACTGAACTGATCTTTTGAGCAGTATAATGAGGCACTCTGCATTATGGCTATGAATCAGATCACCTCGCTTTGGGTTCTGACTCTGCCAAATGGGTGACTTTGGGCCCATCACTTAATCTCTGTGCATCTCATCTATAAAACAGGGATGAAAATAGCAGTACCTATTTTATGGGGTTGTTGTGAGGATCATATGAGTTCTATGTGGTAAAGTCTCAAAACATTCCCTAGCATATCATAAGCTCCTTAGTGATATAATTTCGGGTAGTTCAATCTATTTTGGAATGGCACAAAAAGCTATGAAATGATAGTTTTAGTTGGTTGCCTTTCCCTCCTATCAATGTCAAACATGAAGGAATAGAGGAGGTGCTTTTCCTATTTTGCAATTTGGAACTCTGGGGAGCTTTTTCAGGTTATTTTTCAGTGTCTTTTACTTGAGAATTCACTTGAGACGAACTGGCATCCTAGCTCAAAGTAAAAACTTCTACTATCTTCAAAATCAGTGGGAACTGGGTTCCAAATCCAGCTCTGCCACTTCCTAGCATTAGGACCTTAGTCATGCTACTTAATCTCTCCAAGACTCCATTTTCCAATCTGTTCACAGAGGATAATACAGACTGACCTTCTAAGGCTAGAGTGAGGCTTAGATTTTATAAACTGCAGGAACATGAGGTTCAAAATATAACAGATCACAACTGCTGTGTTCTCTGTTTGCTCATCATCTTCAATTGGCCAGAATACAGAAGCTTTTTCCTTTATAGTCTCTGTGTAACATACTGTATACACCTGAGATGGGCATGACAGTGTCCCATAGGAGACTAGAATGTATGGTAAGATCCCCCATGATGGCATGAAATATAAATAAAAACTGCTATAATCAAAGCAGTCAGAATGGAATCTGCATTATCTAGTACATAAGTTTTCTTTTGTCAAGGATGATCAACTTGAGCAAGACTGAAACAAAATCTTGTCCCAGTAACCTCAGTACACACATACTGAAAATTGTTGTTAAAGGGCATTTTACATTCTTATTTATAAATATTCTTAGAAAAGCACTTTATAATAATTCCACTGATTCTGTAAATCAACTGTTCTTTTTTTACAGATGGGAAAAATATGAAGCCTAGTTTCAAGTCACACAGTAATATGTGAACAAATTGTAGTCAAGGCTTTTAATTTCTGGCTTCCAGCAATCCACTTTGCTGCTGACCTTTGAGCAATTCATTCTGACCTCAGCTTAATCATCTTTACACCAGCAAGATCCTAGGCCTGGACTGAATCACACCTACTAACCTGCTCTCCTGAAATTGCCTTGTCTTATCCTCTGGAGCCTCCACTTCTCCCCAGCTTGTGGTTTGTGTGTCTGTGCGACTGTCTGTGTGTCTGTCTCTGTCTCCCCCCTCTCTTTTTCCCTCTCCCTCTCTCCCTCCCCAGTCCCTCCCTCTCCCTCCCAAATCCCTCCCTCTCCCTCTCTCTCCCTCCCAAGTCCCTCCCTCCCCCTCCCTCTCTCTCTCTCTCTCTCTCTCTCTCTCTCTCTCTCTCTCTCTCACACACACACACACACCCACACCCACACCCACGTTGTGTAATACAATAGCCATTAGCTACAGTGGCTGAGTACTTAAATGTGGCTAATCTCAAATGAGATGTGATTTAAGTATAAAATACAGACCAGACTTTGAAGGCTTAGTACAAAAAAAAAGTACCATTCAACAAATAATTTTATATATTGGTTACATGCTGAAATGACAATATTCTGAATACATTTCAGTTAAATAAAATCTATTACTAAAATTAATTTGACCTGTTTCTTTTTACTTTTTTAATGTACCTACTAGAAAATTTTAATTAAATATATGGCTCACATATTTCTATTTGGCAATTGCTGGTCTATACTGAAGGTTCTGTAAAGGAACTTTGTGTCATTTGCACTGTACTCTCACCCCATTCCCTAAACTAGCATAGCACCTAATAGTAAGTACACAATAAATATTTGTTGAATTAATGACATCTCTAAATTTGTCTGTACACATGTTTTTCCATCTTTACATTGGAAATAGTGGTTCTATTTACAATACAAGATGGTCAGGATAATGTCATCAAGAAATTTATTACTTTCTTTGAAAAGTAAAATTATGACATGAGTATGACTGTTTTTACAGAAAAGGCTAAAATTAATTTTGAACCCTTAGGCAATCATTTGTATTCTGAAATATGTTCTTTGAATTATAATATAAATTACATAAATTAAACGCTGAAAAAGCTGAAGAACAAACAATTTAAGTGGAAAAACTGCAGAAAGAATCAAAGAAAAGCTGAAGTAGGACCACAGGTAATGGGAAGGCAGAGTCCACAAACTTGTGAAACTAGCTTTTATTTAAAAAACAGAAGGCTCATGGTGCTGATGGATTCCAGTACTAACCGGGACATAATGCAAGTATTTATCCGAAAGACAATCTGTTTCCAAACTTGATCACTACCCCACCACACCCTCACTCCTTACAAAAACACCCCCCACACAATGAATACAATTCTGATTACCAAAAATTCTCAGGTGTGCAGACCCAAAACACACAATAGCTCTTTCATAAATTGGGTCTACAGGACACAAGAAACACAACATGGACAGGTGAAGAGTTAAGTACACAGGACTACCACTTTCTCATCTCGACTCCAACTACTCCCTACTGGACCTAACACTCCAAGAATCAAATAACTGCTGACCCCACCACTAATCAAAAGAGAAAGCCACATTGTTATATCCACCAAATATGAAAGTTGAATGTATGTGGAGCTGTGGGTAAGTAGAATTCAATGGAGGAGGACAAACAGAAGAACAAAAGCTAACCTCTGATCCAGGACCATTTCAAAGACCTGTGAACTTGTCTTCGTTGAGGGCTTTTTAAGTTTTATAAGTCTGTCCTTTAAATCAGCAGTACCAGATCACAAAATCCTTAGCCTTGTGGTTGACATGAACACACGACATCCCAGGCAATTTTCAACTGCTAGAGCTGGAATCTGGTATTTTCCAGTGACAGGAAAGACAGAAGACTATTCCACAGCCTAGGAAAGGGGGCAGGAGGTTCCGGAGAAACAAGGAGTGGCGGGTGGGGGGTGGGAGGGGGAGCTGAACAGAGACAAAGAGAGCAAAAGGTTGCCCTTGTTGCAGAAGCCACAGAACCCAGTATATATCAGCTTTGAATCTCTTCCTTCACCCCAATCCCCCAACCCAGGTACTTAAGAACACCTTAGGACTTAGGCCTCTGTCAACTTCCCTCTCCACAAGCAAAACTTAATCTGTGCACACCGAAAAAAAAAAAAAAAATCTGGGGAGAAAGAGGAAACTACAGAAGACCCTTATTACTTCAGTTTACTAATGTGGGTGGTGACGCGTCAAGAGCCCCATTTGGGAGTGAAAGGGAGGGGAGAAAAAGAAGAAACCACAGTGCTCTAAGCTCTGCCGACGTCTCGGCAGAACAACTGTCAACGCTTTTAAAGGGCACGGCTTGTTCTTAGCCGCAAAACACAGCGGCTGGCAGAGTTGGCGGCGGGAGGCTGGTTACCCGGAAGCCGGCAGGGGGCCTGGAGGGGGGCGCCTCAAAAACACAGACTTAACGGTAACGGCTCCAGATATGTCGCCCCTCCCTCCCTACGTTAAAGTCGCGGAGAATGGGACGCCAGTGAGGCAGGTGGAGGAGCGAGGACAGGGCGACCGTCAGTTGGTTTTCGTTGCCCAGCAAACACCAGCCGGAGGGAAGGCTGAAAAGTGGAGGAAAAGACAGCACAGAGGAAAGAAAGACACGTTACCTTGTTCATCCCATTCCCCATGGTGACCGAATGCGAGCTCTTAAGAACTTTGGCAATGAGGTCGCAGGCTCCCTAATGGCGTGTTGCAAACAGGAGGGGGAGGAGCAGGTGGGGCGGGAGGGGAGGAGGCGCTGGGGAGGAATTTCGTGCTCGCAGTATTAACAACAACGACAATCGGGGAGGTCCGGGCGACTAGGCTTGCTACAGGGAACCCGGCACGGACGATAGGGTTTTCCGCTTCTCCGCCGCGGACTTCCTGGCTCGAGCCGGGCAGGGCTGCGACGTCCTTGCCGGGAAATGGTCTCGCTTTGCCCGTGAACTCCCCGCGTGAGTCCCGCGCGCCCCTCCCCTGCCGGTTCCTGGGACTTGTAGTCGGGCCCCTGGCGCCTTGCCGCGTGACCACCGCTCCTCCGCTGTCACGCGGGGAAAAGGAGCGCAGACCAGGGCTCCCCGGCAGCTGGGTACAGGGGTGGGTGAGGAACAGGGCTCCTAGGTGTCCGCGTTGAAGAGAAGGCGCGAACTACTGACGCCCAGTGGTCGGGCCGGGGGCCGAGAGCGCACGCGCCGCGCGAGCCGCCTGCGCGTTCCAAAGCCGTGCGGGGGCGGGGCCGGGGCCGAGGCCGAGGCCAAGGGGGTCGCTCAGGCTCTCCCCGCGCCAGCGGTGGCGTGTCGGGAGGGCTCGCTCCCGGAAAGTCAGAGTCACCAAAACTCCCGCAGGCCTTTTCCCCTGGGGCGACTCGGGCAGTGGGGGCAGGGTGCTGTTACGAGCAGTCACCGCCCTGCCTTGACTCCTTCGGTGAATCAGGTGCTAATCACCGCGGCTCCGTGCCCGGGTTTTCTGAAGGCGACAGATTTAGGCTGGGGTGGGGGGATTCCTGTGGTCCTCCCCCACCCACGAAGACCGAGAAGGCTCACCCGGTGAGGAAAGGTGGGATCAGTTACTCATCTCTGGAATGACCCTACCTCCCTACTCTGGAGGAGGGAGCAGATGGCCGGATTTCAGACCTCATGCCTTGGCTTTGGACGTCTAGTGTGTTCCCTTCTTTAAATTATAAACTGGCATCTGGTAGGCACTTGGGTGTGTTGATATAATTACTTCTGGAAAGCCCCTATCTTTGCTAAGCAGTATAGTGATGTCTACATTGTGATTCTGTCTGGAATAGAACATTTTCTAACCTGTAGCAGTTTTGAGTATTCCATCATCTTTAATAAACTCGTGACTGGAGACAGAATCCTTGCGATAGAGGTTTCTGAGTTTCATTTTTATATCCTCATCAACGCTCTGTGCATAGTAGGTGCTTAGTAAATATTTGTTAAATGAACACATGTGTCAATGTAATACAGCTGAGCTCACCCGTGCACCCATGACCTCATTTCATCTACTCCTTACTCATCAAGTTGCAAAAGCCACATTGGCTTTTTGTGTGTTCCTTGAACCTACCAGACTTCATCATGCTCTTGGGCCTTTGTGTAGGTTGTGCTCTCTACCTAGATATCTCAATCCCTAGCTCTTTGCATGTCGCCAAGTGTCACCTCAAGGAGGCTTTTCCTGAACACCCAATCTAAAGTAGATTCTCCAGTAACTATCATGTTAACTCTATTATTTTCTTCATAGCACTTAACATGATCAGACATTATTATACTTATTTGCTTACTTTTTATCTGTCTCACTAGAAAGCAAACTCCAGAGGAAACAGACCTTGCCTGTCTTATTCACTACTATAGTCACATAGCCTGGAGCAGTACCTGGCACAAGATAGGGGTTTGGTAAATATTTGTTGAATAAATTAATGATTTCAGGGGGCTGAGGAGATAGCAGTCGGGTTCTGAGGAATGCTGACATTTTGAAAACTTGTAGACTACATCTTGGTTATTTCTCTCCTTGTATACCATATCTTCTGGGCTATGACAGGTACCAAACCTCCACATGTAAGAAGCTCCCACTCAAAGTGTACCCAAATTGTCTACTATAGGTCAAATAAGACCCAGATCAGGCATCACCCTTCCTGCCCCTGGCTTTTGGTGTGCTCCTTCCCTACCACTTTCACTTCCTTTTTTCCTTCCCTCTTCCCAGTCACCTTGGCAGTCCTTCTCTTGCCCTTTTGCTCCTCACCATCATTATTTTTCCTACCTTACTGCTTATAGACAACACAGCTTGGTTAGAGGATTGCCTGGGGAATCCCAGACCAACCATTGTTCCTAAGTCTCAGAGTGATCTTGGGCAAGATGCTCAACTTTTCTGAACCATTTATTCCTCCTTAAAATAAGTATTGGACTATGAATTTTTAAAGGTCCTATCCAGCAATCAATGAACTACTCCTGTTTCCCTCCACTCTAATTGTGTCATTGTTGTAGTCAGTTTGAGAACACAACCAGTTTATAAGTTGGTATTTGCCCATAAATGACAAACATCCAATTTTTCTTCTGTCATTTGGAACATGTCCTTACTCATGCTTTTCTTGTAAACTTATTTCTCTAGCTCAGATCATCTGCTTAACAATCTCTCCAAGGCTCCAAACTTGCCATGGCTATCTCCTAACAGTCAAGACTGGCACTCTGGCTTTCATTCAGTATGGGCCTGTAAGATCCACATGCCCAGATTCTCAGTTTCAGATTTCAGATTCTCAATTTTTCTTTCATTTTTGGTTAAATGAGAAAAGAGGAGACCATTAACATAAGAAGCCGTGTCAGATTTTTAAAATTGTGTGTGTGGTGGGGAGGAGGGGGGCAGGTAGGATTCTCCATAAAAGGCTATCTCCCTGCACTCCCCTCCATCCTGTCCTAGAACCTAACTCCACCTCTCTCCATCATAACAGTAATTATCAATTTGTCACATCTTGCATTTCTATGACTAAAAAGGAAAAGAGAAAGTCTGATTCTATTTGGCAATATGTCCTGGTATTCTCTCTTTTCAAAGCACACAACCTCAGAGCTGAAGCTCTCATGCTGAACAGATGGCCTGCCCATTTCCAAGCTCCTTCTTTTCTTCTTTCTTTTATTCTCTGTATCTCCTGATTACGGAAAGAAGGAAGGAAACTCCTAGACAAAGCTGGCAATGCTTCACATCTAAAAAAGAATCTATTATTTGCATTCTCTCACTCATAAAATATTTTAAGGCATGATATGTCTAGTAGAATTTCACTCCATGTAAGATTTTTACTTTTACTTTTCTGCCTGCCATTTTTCTGTCTCTCAACACACCCAACACCACAAATTTTGACAACAACTCCCAAACAATTAAGCCTTCATGTGTGTACAGTGAGGAATGGTCTATCAGTTATGTGAGCCAGCTGCTCCATACACCATTAGAGTCAGCCAGATCATTAGGGGTGTTATTGATAATTTCACAGAATTGAGATAAACTTCTGCCCAAGTGAGAAGTAGTTATGTAATGTTCCTTGGCCTTTTGAACATACTATAATCCAGAGATTCTCAACCCCCAGTACTGCTGACATATGGGGCTGGATAATTTTTGTTGTTGTAGGTCTGCCCTATGCATTATAGAATATTTAGCAGTATTCGTGGCCTCTACTACTATGTCCCAGTAATACTACCTCAGTCATGACAATCAGGAATGTCCCCAGCCCTTGGAGAGCAAAATGCACCTCCTGCCACTATTACATGTACAACGGAGCCACAGGGATGAGATCTTTTAGAGATGAAATCTCTCTTTCTCTCTGTCATTCCTTCCTTCTCTTTTTCTCACTCGACAACCAGTTAAGTCTACATTAATAGATAATGTTAGTTCTCTGCAGAAGTCTTAGGCCGCACTGTCCAATAAGAACAAATTAAGAACAAGAAGTTAAAATGAGGAGCTAATCTAGCCAAAGGATGACTGAAAGTAAAAGAAAGGTAAAACCTAATAAATTGTGGAAAGAAGAAAAAAGGTGGAGTCTAGAACCACCAAAGCAAAAGCACGAGCATCTCCTGTTTCTCCAGAACTCTCTAGAAAGAAAGTACCGAGTTGACTGCTTCAGGCCATGCAGAGAAGCCCGACCACAAGGATGGGGCCCTCAATAATCTCAGCCTTGAAGATTTAGGTGCTGTATACTAAGGCTGATGACAACTGGCCCTGCCCTAATGAAGCTTGCAACTTTGGAAAGAAGGTATACTGACAATACACAGGCTACATGTTATGATCTGTAGGCTGACATTAGTGTCACCTTCCACCCAATTTTAGGAACTAGGGCTCTGTCTTATTTCCCTTTGCCTAATATTTTGTTCCATAGTCTGTTCAATATCTCTATTCCTCCATTCCATTAAAAGGCCACTGATTTCCAGCCCTCCAAGCAGTCTTCTGATTATGAACTTGATTTCCTGTTCCAATTTCTACTAATGAAGTATGAGGAGCTAAAATCTCAAAGCGTAGGCATCTGGAGAATGTGGGGTCAGAGCAGAGCAAGAAGAATGGATATCTAGTTAAGTAAGCAGGGCAGAGAGATGGGGTTAGAGAATCTGGGAGGAAGCGAATGGAAAATGCTAGCAGGCATGTGGTTGGGAGTCAGCAAAGTCTGTTGCATGTAGAATTTTTGGGAGGGTTGGCAGAGGCAAAGCCAGTCTGGGAGGAATGGAGATATTGAACAGACTATAGAACAAAATATTAGGCAAAGGGAAATAAGACAGAGCCCTAGTTCCTAAAAATTGGGTGGAAGGTGACACTATTGTCAGCCTACAGGTCATAACATGTATGCCTGTGTATTGTCAGTATACTTTCTTTCCAAAGTTGCAAGCTTCATTAGGGCAGGGCCAGTTGTCATCAGCCTTAGTATACGGCACCTAAAATAGTTTGTACTATGTGGGGAAATGTTCAGTTATTTGTTGATTAAGGAGAGAAAACACAACTGGGAGGTTGCTGCATTTATCCACGAGTAGGGTTCACCAATAATTCATCTTTTATATGCCAGATAATGAATATCGCATCTACCTGTCTTTACTTTTTTAGAGCAATGCAATTTCCATATGAGATGGCTCTGTCATCTAGGAGTGATTAAAGTCCTATTGCCCTTTGTGTTTTAAACTGATGCAGTGCACCCTGGTGAGAGAGAGGAGCGGTGGGGGGGGGCGGTAAAGGGGTAGAGAGAAAATCTTTGCACACAGTACTTTCATATATTGCTGTATTCTGCCCCTTGATTTGCAGCCATAGCTGTAGTTGGCAGAGCCCAATACTTTCTGTAGCTCTGCCCTTGACATCATGTTGTTCTTTGAACTTTGGTTAAGAAATCATTAGTGGTTTATGAACATCCATCTTGTAGGTTGGCTGTGGTTATTTTCCTTGTCTGGAATGATTTGACTTGACCTATGTACTTCCCTATTTTTGCCAAGGAAGGTCTATGAGGTAGCAAACAGGCCCTTTAAAACTTCATTGTTTAAAAAAAAAACAAAACTTTTTTTATGGTCGATGATCCCAGCTCAAAATAGCTGCCAAAATCTGAGCCACCAGTGTCTTTTTAGACTCAGTACAATAACATCTTTTTCATCTGGATCTGACAGGACTGGTATAAAATACAATTTGGCCCTTGCTTTTTTACACTAACTTACCT